TATATATATGAGAAAATGGGGAAAATATAGAACTGTCATCACATAGTCCCTTTCAGCTGTCACTTTCATGTGTGCTGATCCATCTCTGGTTGGTGATTCCGACGGTTTCGTGGCTTCTTCTGGTCATGCAGCTCCTTGGCTTTGAGACCAGCCAAAGTCTCCTTGTGATTGGAGGCCACATGCCGCCAGTATCCCTGGCAATACTGATTGATGAGTCCCATCTCGGGCTGCGTGAGCAGCTGGACAAGGTCATGATACTGAGAGCTGAACGTGCCAGGCAGGCCGGCTCTCATGGCTGCTGCAGAGGGGACGGGGGCTTCTGACTGGAAGAGCACAGCATGGACAGTTTCACTGCTCAGTACATGCAGCTGCACTTTGGCCACGGTGTGCTTGAAGTTGTTCTCTGTGGCTGTGCAGGAATACAGGCCCCCATCTGAGAGCTGCAGGGACCGCAGCAACAACCCTTGCTCTGTCCTCAGCACCCGTCCTTCAGTGCGGAGCTATGGAAAGAGAAGCACCAGAGAAACATGGTTAGCAGAGGTGGATCGGCCAGGCTTGGAGATATTAGAACACAGGTTTGGGAAGAGACTAGCCACAGACTGTCGACCATGGTTGTCTTCCTGGAGTGCTTTCTGGCTTGTAGCCGTCTTGCTTCACAGTGCGCATTACTGTTTCCTCTTGCATCAGTTGTAGGATTTTAAAAATTTTTTACCACAGTCCTAATAAGCCAATAGCCAATCATGGTCAAGGGCCCAGTTTCCCATTCTTTTGCTCAGGAGCAAATGAGAGTATAGGAAGGGCTTGAGAAAACTGTTACCCATCAGGTGTGTTGGGAGGGGAGATAGAAAGCCCAGAGTGTATCATGGGACTCTCTATCCAGCTTTAGCTCAAATGGGTTGAGATTTTCTGAGCATAGTCCAGCATTCCCCAACCTGCCACTCTCCATGTTGACTACAACTCCCTCATTTCCAACCAGCCATGCCCAATGGCTGTGCAGTCTGAGATGAAGGAAGCTGCAGCCCAACTCATATGGAAAGTACCAGGTTGGGAGAGGCTGTCTTGGCTGGAAAAGCTCAAAGGCAGCTCTGCTCTTCGCTTCTGAAATATAGGAGCTTCCTGGATGGCTGCCAGTTAGCTAGTGTGAGAATTGTGTGTGCCTTTAGCACAGCTCTTTTTAGTATCCAGGATGTGGGTGAAAAATACTATAGTGGCACTGTGTTCAACTGGTTGAACGCAGGCTCAAGGGGGAGAATGAAAGAGCCCCATCTCTTAACATAAAAGTGAGAGGAGGGCTAATCCTCCCTCCCCTCTCAGCCCCTAACTGGGATGCAGACTTCTCCACCCGCTTTTCCTGCCTACTTTCCCAAAGGCCACCCTTCCTCCCTTGCCTGCCTGCCCACCTCTTTCCTTCGGTCACTGTTGTCTCTCTGGAGGAGCCATTTGATGGTAGCTTGCGGGGAGCGAGGTTGGCACTCGAGAAAGGCTGTGCTTCCTTCCACCCCGTATTGAACAGCTTCTACTGAGTTCTTGCTGGCTGGAAGTGGGAGAAAGGAGAGATAACCAGATGATGATTTATAAAGGGAGACATGGCATCTCTGTAGTGTAATTTAAGCTAATCAAAGGCTATCTACCCAAAAGAAGTGACCAAGTTTGTTAACAGACGCCCTTTTCAGATGAGCCTAACTTCCCACTCAGCTCAGATCTTTCAGGGAATATGACCACTGCCTGGGCTTTGTGTGATCTGCTTTAGAAAATCACACCATGGTTCTGTGTATATAT